CATAAAAGCAAAGGTCTGCCACAAGTCTCTCACAAGAGCAGACAACAGCAACATAACTGACATTTAATACAGAGCGCGCACAAAAACCCCTCGCTATCCTCTACACACACCTCAGAACATTCCCAACACCCGAGGACAAACTCAAACATGGAAGACCAAAAGCCGCAAGAACCAAAATACGCCACAAGAAATCAAAGAAATGAACCAAACCTCTCCCTGCAGCTGTAAGTGAACGCAGCCCGACGAGCCCCGAACTTTAATTGCGCAGTTACGTAACACACCTCACTCACAGAGCTCAGTATTAACCTAATTCATAGTAATGGCGCGATCATTTCTGGCAGGGTCACATCATTGCTGTCACGAGAACCCACGGAAGGGTCTAGAACCAGCTAGAGATTGCTTTTTTTTTCCACAGAGGCCTAAATGAAGGAAGGCAGCCAGCTGTAAGAATTACACGGTAAAACAACTGCATCTACAACATGATTCACCCTAGAAAAGCATGTCTTGTGTTAAAGAAAAAGGCTGGAATTGTAGGTACTGACCATCTTTTCATACTGTATAAAGCGACTACCTAATTCAGAGCATTCCAATACTCTGCAAGTGTATGGGAGAGCAAACAACTATGCGAGCAGCTTCTGCTGCTCCTTGTATTATCATAAGATCATCAAGTAATTACATATTACTAAAATAGGCTGGATTCACAGCCTGGGAAACTCAAGTGCCCATTTGCAAGCAGAACAGGAATAGTGGAACCTTCTTCAGGCTATGCCCTAATGAAGCTTACCCACCAACAGTGCCCCTACAGCTGACTCAACCCCCCCAACTCCTGCCAGCACTCCCTGAGAAAGCAGTCAAGTAACAACATTTATACATGAGAAGCCTGACCAAGATGCAACTCATTTCATGCAAAACAGCAGTGGAAAGATTCTTGCTACTCACCAACACCTGACAACCTCCAGACAACATCTGTCGAACTAATTAGTGACCCAAAGTCAGGCAAGGTCTGAAACCTTCTTGACTTCTGCACAATTTACTTTGTGTGGCAAATTTCATGTTCATTGCTTTACTAAGGTTAACTATGATTTTCTGCTGAGGCATCAAAACATCTGAAGTCGGCAACAAAAGCACTGTAAAAGCAACAGTCTGTGCAGATCATTTCATAATGATATTTTCTGAACGATTTGAGATACTTCTTTTAAAGAGGCTGCCACATCCTCCAGTGCTGAAGAATGAGGAGAAAGATCCAGCCTTAAGCACACACATCAGACAGAACCTAGAGCTGCCAGGAAGATGACAAGGAAATTCTCCCTGGCAAAACTCCAGTGACCCCAAGCTTGCAGACCAGCTGGGCCCAGGGAAAGACAGCTCCCATGCGTTAGAAACCTTTAAAATTAATTAAAAAAAAAGTTACTTTTTGGGGGTGGACCAGACTCTGACCACACCACAACTCAACCCCTGCTCATCAGCTGCTCCCCAGCAGAGGAGCTGGCACTAACAGCACCACTACCCAGCAGATAAAATTAATGCTATGACATCAACCCTTTTCCATAAGGACCCCCACAATTTATGCAGCAGCAGACAATAATTATCCTGTGACCACACCATTCTTGTGCCTTAAACAACCTGTGAGTGAGCCATTTGGCATGTTTTCAGCTGTTTCAGTGCATTAGTTACAATCATTCTGAAATACAGACCTCCACTTTTGCTAATTTCCTAATTTTTATTAAGCCACAGAGAACAGAATCACGCATTTAGACAAAGGTGAGTCCTTAAGCAAAGTATCTGTATCTTGTCCTATCGTAATTCTTAAACAGCAGTACAGAACATGGAAACCCTTGATGCTGACTTAGCTGATTCAGAAAAGGTTTTCACTTATTTTTGCTGTTTTTTTATAGAAGCTAGCACAGACATCATAAAGGCTGTACTAAATCAGATTCAAGTGTATGTCTGTGCATGCCATTAATGCAGAGTGCCTGCATAACCCTTACACAGTTCAAGATGTTTTACAAACATTAGACGCCTAATTAAGCCTCCAACTACTCTCCCTAATACAGTGACTATCACCCTAATTTACATGAGATCAGCTGAGCCACAGAAGCACCTCACGTAAGCCAGGAAGGGCCAAAGTAGAGAAGAGGTTAACACACCAGACCCCAAGAAAATCTGCCCCAGCTGGCAGAAAGGCATGAGTATGTAAAGCCTGCACTTTCTGAGCAACCAAGAAGAATAACTGGAAGTAGAATAATCATCTCCTACCCACACATTTTTCTTTTAGCAAGATAAAGAAGTAATATCCCAACAACAACAAAAAAGGGAACATTGTGAAGTCACCTACAGAAACACTACATGGCAATAACCGTGAATTACGGCACTGGCCTTATGACACCAAGAAAAACCCCAGATGCATGAGGCTGCCCCCGTTCTTCACAGCTGAGCCTTCCCCTCAGAGCAGGGCGAGGACCAAACGCTGCCCACGAATTCTTCTGTTTCTGCACCTGCTCAGCCTTTCCCAAGAAGATCATCCTATTCATGACTGGTTTCCTGTGCCCATCACTTCTGCAGTGAAACTTGGGAAGGAGGAAGGAAGGGTAACTTTAGAGGTCACTGTCAGAAGACGACTGTGCCTTCAGCATGGTTTTTACATTTGGATATTTTTAACATTTCAAACACCACATTTAATTAGCCTGGGGGAAGGAATGACCTACCCATAAACAGGGCTTTCCCAACTTTACAGGCTGTGCAATTTGTTGGTATTCTATGCACAACATCCAGGTGCCTCTTCAGCAACATCTAATTTAACTCCTTAGCATGACATCACCAGGAAGCCAGCTCCTTCCCAGCCCGGCTCCTTAAGCCTTCAATTTCTGACAGTAAACAAGCAGCACAAAACACCTCAGGCCATCAATGTTATTTTGAAAATACTATTCCTCAGAGGCCACTTTCAGTTTTGTTTCCTCCTTTTAACTCCATCCACTGAATAATTTTCTAGAACAATTGCCTCACCACCTACAGAAATAGTTCTCTCCTCCCCAGTTCCCCAGGAGATAACCAACTGCCAGCATTAGATGCTGCAGAACCAGTGGAGTTTCCTAGACATCGGACCTTCCCATCTCTCTGCCTGCAGAGACTGCAACGCTCAGCTGCTGCTAGGAACCAGCTCACTTGTTCTTGAGAAGAAAAAGTGCAAGAAAGGTTGGGATTCCCACCACCCCCAGCCTTAGACGACACTGTCTGCTCCCCTGGGCAAGGTGCACCAGCCCACTTTGAAAATAAACTAGTTACTGAAATTTGAAGCTCTTTAATTACGGTAACATTTTCAGAGCAGGACTCTGCCCAAACATACGCCTGCAACTGACATTTTTCCCATTATCCACAGCAAGGCAGGACAGAGTAAAAATCGCTGCGTGTAGATTTCAAATAGTACCAGGGACAAGGGAGTCGAGTATGATGAAGAAGCGAAGAGCACTAGAATCTACGAGTCTGAAGCTTCCCTTCTACACCACAGTTTAATCCTTTCCTCCTCGTCCTCAGCAATGGGAGAAAGCTCTCTTCAGACACCAGCCCGCGTGGCCTCGAGACAGAAAGAATGTTAATTATATTTCTAGGACACTCAAACTCTAGTTGGCTGAAGACAGCCTGACTCCACTACAGGGTATATGTTCTAATCCTGGTATGTGCGAGGGCCATGAGATCTCACACGGGACGCGCAGCCAAGGCGTCCCAAAATAAAGCGTCCCCCGGCAGCGAGCACAGCCCTGCCCCGCATGTGGCATGTCACAGCC